TGGCTGCATCTATGTGTGTGAAATGCCCACAGAATCCAGAAGAGGGCGTCAGATCCCTGGAACTGGAGTTATAGACTGTTGTGAGCTACCATGTGGGCGTTGGGCCCTTTAAAAGAGCAGCCAGTGGCCAGGTGTTGGTGGCACACGCCTTTAATCCCAGCACTCGGGAGGCAGAGGCAGGCGGATCTCTGTGAGTTCGAGGCCAGCCTGGACTACCAAAGGAGTTCCAGGACAGCCTCCAAAGCCACAGAGAAACCCTGTCTCGAAAAAACCAAAAAACCAAAAAAAAAAAAAAAAAAAAAAAAAGAGCAGCCAGTGCTTTTAACCTTTGAATCTTCTCTCTAGCCCTGTGGGGTTGTTATTAGTATTTTTATTACTCGGCAGACTGTATTTTTTTAGAAACAGTTTGGGTAAGGTAAGGACAAAAAAATGAGGCTTTCACTCCTTTCCAGCCTCCCCCTCATGGGCGTTGTTTCTTTGTTTTTGTTTTCCAAGACAAGGCTCAGGTACCTCAGGTTGGCCTTGAACACACCAGACAGCCTGGGATCAGGAATGGTGATCCACATCTGAAGGCCCAGTGCTTAGGAGGCAGAGGCTGACTCTAAACAGCTGCAGCCAGAACTGGCCTCCATCTGCTCCTTCTGCCTGCAGCTCTCAAGTGCAGGGTTCACAGGTGTGCAGCGCCAGGCCCGGTGAAGAGAAAACACTTTGTGGGCAAGTTTTTCTCTCTCCTCTCGTCTCAGTTTCTTGCCACCTGCTACCCTGCCTCCCCAAACCTGTCTTTAGAGAGAGGCAAGTCAAAGCCTCTCTCTCAGTTGCTTTTGGGGTGGTGTTTCACCTTGTTCCCTGGAGTCCTTGTCTCCTGGAGATGGCCTAGGCTTGGAGAGCTGGAACCCCAAGATCAGAGTTCAGGGGAAGGGCCCTTTCTCTCCGGTGTATATTGTAGAGGAGTTGGGAAGAAGGGAGAAGTGTGGCCAAGGAAAGGGGGCCTTTCGAGTTCAGCCATGCTAGCCACCTGCCGCTGAGTAACCGCCCCTGGAGTCCACTTGGGCGCGGATGGTGAAGGAGGTACTTGTCTCCCAGGCCTTCTCTCCGTCCCCTCAGGAATCTGAGCACCTTCACCCAAGCCTGCTTCTCAGTAGCCTCACACTGACACCCCCTCAGGGTAAGACCACCGGGCCAGACTGCAAGCTAGGCTGCTGCATGGTTGCTTTTATTATGTTTCATTACTTATATTGAGATAGGATCTCATTGTATAGCTCTGGCTGGCCTGGAACTTTTGTGTAGCTCTGACTGGTAAAATTTCTTTGTGTATGTGTTTTGCATGTGCCACAATACCTATATAGTCAGGAGACAGCCTGAAGAATTCAGTTCTCGTCCACCTCGCGGGTGTCAAGGCGCCATGTTTGGAGGCACCTTTACCCACTGAGCCATCCCCCCAGCCTGGAGCGTAGGTTTCCTCGCCCTCAGTGATGCTGACATTCGGGGCTTAATTCTGGGGATGGCCCTGTGACCTTGGCTTGCTTACTAGCATCCCTGGCCTCTACCTAGCGAAGGCTGGCAGACTTCTTCACAAGCATCAGCAAAGCTGCGTCTCCAGACATTTAACCCTAGGGCTGTGTGTCCCGGTGCCAACAAGAAAATGCTGGAACGAAGCATGAGGGGCAGACTCCCTAGACTAGACTACATCTTCTTTGCCTGAAACTGATTCCTCTGAATGTTCCAGGAGAGGGTTTCAAACCTTCAAAGCCCAGAGCCGTCCCGTGTTGGGATAGCTCTGTGGTACACCTAGACCTAGGGACATGTTTCCTCGCCATTTCGTGATAAAGGTGGAGAGCAGACGGGAGGGGTTCCCGCTCCCTCCAGCTGTGTGACCTGAGAAGGCCATTTGCACTGTGGGAACTGCTGAGAAGTATGTGTACCTGGGAACCTGTTAGAAGTAAACCTCAGGAGCTTATTTTCATAAGTCCTTCAGTTCATCCATACCCAGGACAAACCAGGTCAGTCAACAACCCATAGATTTAAATCTGAACTCAGAACCTCTCATCTGCCCAGCACAGCGCCACCTGCTGGCTGAATCCAGCAGCATATACATGCATGCTCACAGGACCCCAGTGCAAACTGCACAGTGCTGCATTCTCCTGCCTTCTACAGGGAATCGGGTGAAAGTGAACGTCAAGAGCAGCATTAAATGCCCAAGAGATGTCGCCAAAGTGCAGCAGAGTGCTCGTGTTGTCATAAAAGTACCTTTGTCAAGTGTTTCAATGGGACAAGTGCAAATAGCGGCCTCTCCTGCACAGTTCCAGTCCTAATGCTACCACGGGTCCCTGTCCCACACTTTTCTCTCCCCTTCCTGGCTAACAGTGACCAAAGAGGTGCCAAAGTACGTCTGCTGTCCCTGGCTGCCCGGGACCTTGGGGAGGAGGTGCAGGAGCCAGGGATCCAGGCCAGCTGAGTCATGATGGGGCGCCCTGCCTTTGAGCTGTCCAGATGTGGAGGGTGGAGCTGGCAAGTCAGGGCAGGGCCAGTGGGCAGCTCAGCCCTACCCTTCGGTCATCTCCACTACACAAAAATAAAGACTACGAACAAACCAACACCACGAGCTGGGCTTGGCACTCAGCACTGGGAGGGGGAGGTGGGAGGATAGGGGTTCAAGGCTATCCTCTGCAAGATAGCAAGTCCATGTCCAGCTGGGCTACAGGAAACCTTGACTGCAAAACAAAGAACGGAGGGGTTGGGGGGCGGGGAGATGTGGAGTCTTCATCTTCTGAGGGAGGCTGCCTTTCTTGAGTCTGGCTCTGAAAAGCTAAGCTTGACCCTAAGGGATGCCAGGCCCAGACTCCAAACACAGGGGTTCTTAGGGCCTGCCCTAGTTGCTTTAGACCAGGCTGGGGTCACACAGAAAGGCTTCTGTGACTAAGGTGTGGCCAGGCAGACCCAGGCATCCACCTCAGCCACCCACTTGTCACAGAGTGGCTTCCCCCGCTCCCCATCCCTACTGTGCTAGGTGAATGGACAGTATGTGCCTCTGGGAAAGGCTGAGCCAGAGGGAGCGGTCACAGCTAGGAGGGCAGCTGTGATGAAACAGGAGCGTGTGAGTCAGGCTGGCTATTTGGAGCAACTGGATTCCTGCGTTGGAGGCTCCATTTCCTAGACAATGAAATGCAAACACGGTATTACACACCAGGGAATGTTAGAGGATCGTCATGAGCAACCAGAGGAGCGGCCTTTCCAAACCGCCAGGGTTACGTAAGTGGTGGGTATGGCCCCCACATCAGGAGTTGTCAGCCTGAAGTACATGGGTGGGGTGTGAGGAAGGCTAGCATAATGTGTGGAAGTGGCCAAGAGGGTGTCTTTTTCATGGGACGCTCTCAGGAGCTCAGAGGGCAAGGACCCAACAAAGTGGTAAGGCCACACAGCCAAAGCGCAGAGCTGTCTTTTTACACCTGCCTAGCATGCAAGCAGCCCTGGATTCAGCCCCAGCACCACAAAAATGTAAGTAGTAAGTAACTTCACAGCGGGTACCGTGTCACCCAGTACTCTGGAAGACACAACAGGATTTAGAGTTCAAGACTATTCTCGGCTACATAGCAAATTTGTAGCCAGTCTAGGATGCAAGAGACCTTGTCCAGAAAAAAAGGGAACCAAATGTGGGCTTCTTATCCCGGGTTAACCCAGGACCCACGTACCTCCGGTGCTATATGTAGGGAGAAGTTCAGAGGCCAGATATGGAGAGTCAGTCTACAGGCCTCCATCCCAGAGATGGGGGGCACGAGAGACAGGGTGACTAGGTCCTGAAGGGTGGGAGAGGCTGGAAGCCTTGTCTGCTGGTCGTGTCACCCCTTCCTCCCCAAGTCTCCCCCAAAAACCTCAAAGGCGGCGACTTCTTTGGTTCAGTTTTTCCCTCTGAGGAAGACTAGGGTGGACAGAAAAGCCCAGCTGAGCATGCCCAATGGTCAAGGGCTTGGGAGACTCCATGATAAGCCAGTGATGTCAGAGCACTAGTTTGGATGGACCCCAGTGTTTTATGTGTTCTCACAGAATAAGGAGCACCATCCCTAGATCCATTTTTATATGACACGGGGTTTCTCTATGTATCCCAGGCTGGCCTTGGATTAGTGATCCTCCTTCTAGAGTTCCTGATGAGAGATAGAAACCAGTGGACTCCACCACTAAACCACATCCCCAGGCCAAACACACACACACACACACACACACACACACACACACACTTTTCGAGACAGGGTTTCTCTGTGTAGCTTTGGAGGCTGTCCTGGAACTTAATCTGTAGACCAGGCTGGCCTCGAACTCACAGAGACCCCACCTTGCTTCCCAGGAGTGCTGGAATTAAAGGTGTGTGCCACCATGCCTAGCCATATTTGATGCTTTTGTGTGCTCCTTGTTGTCTGCATGTACATCTGGAGGATGGCCTCTGGTGTGACCCTTAGGAAGGTTGTCACCTTGAGATGGGTTACCTCATTGGTCTGGGTGTAAAAGCAGGGCTAGGCTGTCTGCTAGAGTCCCAGAGATGCCTGCCTCAGTGTCAGGATTACAAGCAGGCACCAAGCATAGTGTTTTAATGTGGGCTCTGTGGACCGAGCGCGGACAGGTGCTGCACAGACTGAGCCACGCCCTCTACCTAGGGCTGAACTCAAGTCCTCACGTCGGCACGGCAGGCGCGTTACCCAGTAAGACCCCAGCCCCATCCTCTGTGTGCTCTTGGCCTATTTTGACTTCTCCCCTCTTCTTTTACTTCCGTTCACAAATCCCTGTGGTTTTTGTTTGAGTTTGAGGTGGGGTGTCACGTAGCTGAGCTGGCCTTAAGCTATTCCTCCTGCCTGCCCTTCCTTAGTGCTAGAACTGGAGGTCTGTACCACAGTGCCCGGCTTTAGACTGTGGCCTGGTCCAGGGCATGAGCCGAAAGAACACATGGTCCCCTCCATGGTGAGGTAGGATTGCTATTAGGCCCGGAAGAAACAGGCTCAGAAAACCAAAGAGGCTTGCTTTAGAACAGTTTATCATCCGGCTTCCCCGCTGGGCCTGGTACGCTGTGTTTGGCTCTGCCCAGTCCCACAGTTCCATGATGTCTGGGTAGCTCCAAGTCACCAATCTACAGCCGCAGGGCAGGGGCTAGTCCAAACTGGCTGTTTATTTCGCATGCCAAGTGAGACTGACCCCAAGAGCGCTCCCGAGCTACGAGGCCACGCCCCACTCCTCTCCAGAGCTCTCCCGAGCTAGGAGGCCACGCCCCACTCCTCTCCAGAGCTCTCCCGAGCTAGGAGGCCACGCCCCACTCCTCAAGCCTTCACGCAGCAGTTGAATTAGCAAACTCTTTGATAAAACACTGCTTAGGGAAGCACAGTCGGGCCAGTGCTGTGTTGATGGGCTTGGCTTCCTGAACACGGTGGATCTGTCACCCCACCCAAGTCACCCGCCGTCTCTACTCTCTTCACCTGAAGTGGTTCCCAACCACCTAGTACTTCAGCTGGTGCCACAGATCACAGAGACCCACAGGGCACTTCCTCAGGTCTGCTCCCTGTCCATCTGAGGTGGGCCACCCCTCTGTCCTTCCCTTCTCACCTGCCTTGACCTGGTCCTAGGACTCCAGCTGGTCCCCACCCCAAGAACTATTGTCCCTGACACACTTGACATAGCACAAACCAGGACACACGTTAGAATATATTCACTGGTGCAACCCTGGACTGCCCAGGCAGAGGACAAATGGTCACCCTACTGACAAATCTCCCCTGCTCCAAACCGAGCCTTAGCATGCAACCCTTGACTTTCCAAGACCCATCTCCATGTTGACAGCACACTTCTTGGGCCCAACCCTCCCGGCAATCAGGACTTCATGGTCTTGGATGGAAAAGTGAGCCTTAATCCTCCGTCCTCCATCCCAAACTCTCTCAAGGCCTTCTTATGGGCTAGTGCCAAGGCCAAGGAACAAGGAGCCTACCCTTGGTCCTGGCCAGAGCACGAGGACTCTGCTGCTGAGACCCGTGTTGTGCAGTCTTGATCTCATCTCCAAGTGCCTAGGAAGACCAGCTATCACCTGCTCAGGGGAACGGGCAGGCGTTAAAGACAACTACCCGCATTTGGGAGGTGCTATAGGCAAACTGTCACCCCCAGCCCTTCTTTTAGAACCTGCGTGTAAACTGGTTTCAATAAACTTTGCTAAAGCAGACAGTACCAGATAGTAGACACTGGGCCCGGGCCCAGAAAGGCCCAGGCCCAGAAAGCTCCTCCTTCCCCATCCCACTCCCATCCACCATCAATCCATAGCCAAGCTTGGTGCATTCAGAAACAGACATGCTTCCATCTTCCACGGGCCTCTGATAGTCAGGCACACATCCACCTGCCTGCCTTTCTGTCTTCCAGAACAAAGGCTCTCGGTGGTGTCTGTGCTGGGACCTATCATACCCGGTGTGGCCTCCCACCCCCCACAAAACAACTGCCCAAATCCAACCCCTAGAAGTCAGACGAGTGAACCACAGCTCAGGGTGTGGCTTTCCGATGAGTCCCGGAGTAGTTGTAGGAAATGGGATGGCGCGTCCCTGGCCTCACGGTGAACGTGTTGATGGGGCTTCCGTAGTGGGTGTTGCGGTGGGGAGACCTGGAGTGGAAGGGGGGAGCGGTAAAGGTTCACATGCATTGGTCGGCCCCCCCTCTACCCACCTCTCCCTGGACAGAAAACTTAAAATGAGATGTGATGGACTTCTCAACTCCAGGGTGGGACCACGTGCGGGCTGCAGAACTCCCCTGGTACCCTGTCACTCAGACTCCTTTGCTCCCAGCCTGCGTCTGGGTCCATCTTTCCACCCGAGTCCACTAGGTCTCCCTTTCCTCTACACTGATTTGAAGCCCTGACGCCCCAGAGGGCCAGAGGGGAGTGAAGAGGTGTGCTGGGAAGTAAGGAGCCAGCCAACAGCGCCCTCTCCGGGTGTCTGGGTCTTCCTCCTCTCTTAGTCACAAGTTACAGACGTGCCCTTGGCACGAACTCTGTTCACGCATGCCTGGTTGTGAACCCCCAGACCCTCCCCAGCTCACCTGGTCCCTTTAGCAGGCAGGAAGCCATAGTCGCCAGGTTTGCTGCCACCACCTCCTCCGGGCACCTTGTACGTGACCTCAGCTGCGCCTCGGGCGCCCTCCAGCGACAGCCTCCGTGCGTTCAGGCCTCCGGGGGCGGCGCGGCCCGCAGAGTTGACCCGCCGCATCTCGGGGCCTCCCGGCTGCGACCCGAAGCAGTTAGGGGAGCTCATGCTGCGGCCAGAGGCGCCGCGGGGCGTCCCGGGGTTGCTGTGGGACTCCCCGACGTACAGGCGTTTTTTGATGAGCGAGCGTCCGCTGCCGGAGAAGCGATCCAGGCCCCCGAGCCCGGGGTATTGAGCGTCGGAAAAGCGCGAGAAGCCGCGACCTGGATTGGCCCCGGGGCCCGCGTCCAGGGACTGTCCCAAGTCCGAGAAGTTGTTCCTGGGTGGGGACCCGCGACGGCCCGGATGCTGCAGCTCAGGGGCGGGGGGCTCAGGGTCATTGCTGAACTCCGGTGGCGGCGGAATGATATCAAAGCTGAACTCCTCTTCTTCCTCTTCCCTCTCGTAGGAAGGGGAGGGCGGAGAGGAGAAGGATTTGGGGAGGGCACGGCCTTGGGGCAGGCTTGAGGGAGCCGGTCTTTCCCGGGCCGCAGTGGCCGGGGACTCGGCCTTGGTCCACCCATGCCTGTGGGTTGGCTCTGGGCCCTGTGTGTCTCGTCCCTGCTGGGGCTTCCACTGACTGGGTCCAGCGGGCCGTGTTGAAGTCCGATGGGAGTCCTCTGTCTCACTGGGTGTCTTAGGGACCACAAGGAAGGAGTTGGGCCGGCTACCTCTGTAAAAGATGCTGTCGGAGCTGGTCTCTGTTTGGTTGCTATGGTCACGGAGACTCCCTGGCAGAGAGGACCTTCCCAGACCCATCGCAGTCCCTCCAGGCCTGGTCTTCTGTGCTCTCTGTCTGGCTGCAAGGAGCAGAGCCATCGGGGAGCCCCGCTCCACGACCTCCCCCGTCACTGGGTGTATGAGGGGTTGGTCAGCAGGCTGGACCGGGGTAAGAGGTTTGGCTGGATGGCTTTGGGGCTCCTTTTCATCCGCCAGCCCCCCTGAGCCTGTGGCCTCCCCTCTGGCCCGAGTGGGAATCACCACAGCAACCTCTCGGCTGTGGGTGTTGTGGCTGCGATGGGGTCTGTAGAGAAATGGTACCTCCTCTCCAACAGGGGACATCTTTGGTGGGAAGGCTGGAGGGGAGAGGGCTCCATTTGTGGACAGTTGGGTGGCCACTGCATTTTCTTGAGATTCTGGCATTTCTCTCTGCCTCACTGGGACAAGGTCCTTCTCAGTCATCAGCTGAGATGACAGGATGGACAACTCAGGTGTGTCCTTGGGTGGTGTGGCCTTCCCAGGTGTGTCCTTGGGTGGTGTGGCCTTCCCAGGTGTGTCCTTCTTGGGTGGTGTGGCCTTCCCAGGTGTGTCCTTGGGTGGTGTGGCCTTCCCAGGTGTGTCCTTGGGTGGTGTGGCCTTCCCAGGTGTGTCCTTGGGTGGTGTGGCCTTCCCAGGTGGATCTTTGGGAGGTGTGATCTGCTCAGGAGTGGGCTTGAGTGGTAAGGCTGGCTTAGGTGTGGCCTTGGGTGGTGCTGCTGGCCCAGGTGTAATCTTGGGCTGGAGTGGTGTGGCAGGCAGAGAGGTGGCAGACATCTGGGGTGGATTCTTGGTGACAGGCTTATGGAATCCACCATCATCAGTCCCGTTTTCAAAGATTCTTCCCCCTTCCCACCTGGGCTTGGGAGGCAGAGATGCTATGCTGGGCTTGGCTTCTTTCTCCGATGAGGAGGCAAACCGAGCCTCTAGCTCATTCCGGATCTGCCTGACACTGGGGGCTGGGGTATCCTGGGGGATGTAGTCCACAGGGGGTAGGGTCAGGCTGCTGGTGGCTTCTCTCTCTGTCAGGCAGCTGCTGGAGGGATTCTTCTCAGAACCACAGGGGTGTGTCTTCTCAGGCAGGCTTGGAGGAGCTGTCTCCTCTGTTAGGCTGGGGCCCTTCTTGCTCTCCTTGTCCTTCAAGGCCACCGTAGGGGCCGGCCTGTGGCCGAGTGAGCGGTCCTCTTTCCGGGACCCACAGAGATAGGCTGCCAGCTCACTTCGAAGCATTTCCATCTGCCGGGGGTCCCTCCAGTCAACGGGTTCTGATGAGGCTGTGTCCTCCAGGGTGGGCGGGTTGGGTTTGGAGTTGAGAGTAGGCGAGCTGGATTTGGGGGTCTTGGTAAATCCAGAAGATGAAGAGACTGCCTGCTTGATAGAGGGCAAAGGAGGAGCAGCTGGGGGCAGGGAGGGCGCTGGTGGCGGAAGTGGGGGAGCAGGTGGAGGCAAGGGAGGGGCTGGGGGTGGGACCCCAGCTTGTCCATTTGTCTGGGGTTCAGACTGCCTGAGCCTTGGGCTGCCTGGTGTCTCAAGCCTGGGCTCTCTCTGGTGCTCCGGCTCTGGGGCCCTGTCTGGGTAAACTTGAGATGCAGGGCGGATGTTGAAGCTGGAAGGGAGGTGGGTAGAGGCCTTCTGGCTGGCGTCCTCCTCCTCTGCGGAAGCCTCTGGTGCTTCCAGAACTGGGATAGAGGAGGTCCTGACTGGAGTTGGGGGAGGCACCTTGAATGACCTGGGGAAGGTCAGGTGGGATTCAGGGCTAGGCCCTAGGGGGCTCCCCTTTAGTTCAGCAGGGCTTTTGGGGGGGGCTGGTTCTGGGGTCGTCTGGCTGCCTGCCATTGAGTGCTGCTTCCGATTTCCACTTGATAATACCCCCAGCGGGTAAGAGACGTGTTCCCGCTGCGTGAGGAGAGACTGGAGTTGGGGGCCCGGGGGCTGACGAAGGTGTAGGGAGGGTTAGAAAGGCTGATGGTGGGGCAGGGGGGATGAAGTCTGGAGGGGTAGGTGTCGATGGCGGGGAGACGGCAGACGAGGTGTCCAACACTGGGGGTGGAGGTGGGGCTGTGTTGGGTGGGGGTGGAGGCTCCACCAGCAAGGGAGGGGGAGGGGGAGGGACAGAAGGAGGTGGTGGTGGAGGGGACTCCCCTGGAGCTGGTGGACTCTCCTGGGGTGGCCCCGGGGCTGGGCCTGGAGGAGGTGGGGGGATGGACGAGTCGAGGTCATAGTGTGCCGGCCTCAGGTCGCCCACAGAGCTGTACAGTCGGAGGTTGCCGTTGACTAGTGAGCCTGGAAGAAGGAAGGCAGAGACATGCGGGGGTCGGTCTCCGTCACCCTCCCTGCTTTAACACGCTTCCTTTTTCTCTCCTTCTTCAATGTGCGTGGGGCAGGGGGGGTGTTACCATGGCTGTGACAGTGTGAGGACAACTATGGGATAATTCTCTCCTCCCACCAGCTGAGTCCTGGAGACGCGCTCAGCTCAGACTTGGTGGCTCACCTTCCCGCTGAGCTGTCTTTCCAACCCGACACAGGGGGAAGGGCTAGCCAGGAGAAACACCAGTTCTTCCAATCCTTCTAGCCCTGACCGAGGAAGCAGCAATGCCACCGATGTCCTGAGCTGTCCTAGGAGTGGTCCCTTCTTACTGGGATTCCCACTCGGGGTCCCAGAGCAGCCCTGATGCTAACCCTAAATCCTGTAAACCCATGTAAAGGGTTCTTTGTGGTTCCCAGTGATTCAGGGAAGCCAGATGTGGTGGCTCATGCCTGTAATCCAACAGTTGAGAAACTGAGGCAGGGGAATTGCCATGAGTGCAAGACCAGTCTGGGCTACATAGTGAGACTGTCTCAAACAAATACAAGACCCCCCCAAAAAAAAGAAAAGAAAGAGAGGGGGAGCTGGAGAGATGACTCAGCGAGTAAAGGCTTGCAGTGCAAACATAGGATCTGAGTTCAGAGCCTCAGCACCCACATAAAAGCGGACAGGCCTACACCTGTCAGCCAAGTACTGGGAAGCAGGGGCAGGCCCGCCACTAGGACACACTGGCCAGCTGGTCCTGCCCAATTGCCAAGGATAGAAAGGGATACAGAGAAAACATCTGATGCTGACTTCTGGCCTCTTCACATGTATACTACACACATGTATACTACACACACACACACACACACACACACACTAACAGGTGCACATGCATACCATATACACACACTAACAGGTACACATGTATACTATGTATACACACACACTAACAGGTGCACATGCATACCATATACACACACTAACAGGTACACATGTATACTATATATACACACACACTAACAGGTGCACATGCATACCATATACACACACTAACAGGTACACATGTATACTATATATACACTAACAGGTACACATGCATACTATATACACACACACTAACAGGTGCACATGCATACTATACACACACACACACTAACAGGTGCACATGCATACCATATACATGCACTAACAGGTGCATATGCATACTATATACACACACTAACATGTGTACATGCATACTATATATACACGCACTAACAGGTGCATATACATACTATATATACACACTAACAGGTGCACATGCATACTATACACACACACACACACACACTAACAGATGCACATGCATACTATATGCACACACTAACAGGTGCATATGCATACTATATACACACACAGGTGCACATGCATACTACACACACACTGACACGTACACATGCATACTACATACATTAACAAAAAGAAAGGAGAGGGGGACCAAATCAGGGGTTACAGAGAGAGGTGGGAAATGGTGGGGGTGGGGCCAGGTGACAAAGAGGGGGGAACTGCACGACCCAGTGGCTCGCGCTCTCGGGAGACCCTGACTCGGGGAACCCATCCTGTCACGCGGGTTACAACTCTGCAGCAGGGTCTGCACTGGTGGATGGCAGAGGAAGGAAGTGCTCAGGGCAGTGTGGCTGCAGAGAAGAACACCTGGATGGCGGTCACATTCCTCTTCCCAGCCCCTGAAGTCTCCCTCCCTCCGTCCACCATTCCTAGCTTCCCCGTTTCCCACCTCAAAATGCTTAGGGAAGAGCAGCAGGCCTGGAGAAGGGGCGCCTGGGGTCCCAACAGCAATACACAAAACAAACAGCGACACTCACTAAAGCTTCCTCTTCTTTGTTTTGTTCCAAGACGGAACCCAGGGCCTTGTTCATGCTGTAGGCCTCTGGCCTCCACACACTTGCTATATGCTCAGCCCCTGAAGTTTACTCATGAAGGGTCAGACAGACAGACAGCCAACACTGTACATTAGTAAATCATTACCGCGGTGAAGGCAGTAATAAAATCTGCAGGGGAGGCGTGTTAATGGTGCCATTTGCACTAGGAAGGCCCCACTGAGAAGGTGACCTTGGAGCAGGGGGATACCCGGAGGGGGGTTGAGATGCAGATGGGGGGGGGGGTGAAAACCTGCCTAGGCTAATTAAGGAAATCTCTCGTGGCAGTGGTGGGAGGAGGGGCAGGGTGTGAGATCCCAGCAGTCCTCCCTAACCTTTGCTCTGAGCATCACAGGATGTCACTGGGCAGGTGTGAGTGGATACACCAACCCCACACATGCCGTCCTACAGAACTGTCACCGCTGTCCCCAGGCAGGGCAGGCATCCTGCTTAGCTAGAGCTAAGATAGATTTGTCTGACCCCAGAAGTCTTGCTGCGGCCTTCATCCTGCTGTGGCCTGGTCCTGCCCTCTCTCCCATTTCCGGATGAGTCTTAGCCAACCATGGCTCCCCATCTCCCAGCCCACTGTTCTCACCGTCTTGGCCAGGACTCGACTTTGCCTTCAGCTGGGGAAGTAGAGCAGGTGCTTGTTTTGTTTTTTTAGTTCAGGGCCACAGAGGAAGGAAAGAGAAGACGAAGCCACAAGACCCGAGCTCCCTTACCTCCCACTTCTTTGTCTGCAAAGTCTTCTGGGACAGAGGGGGTGGGGACAGCCAGCCCATGGTTCTCCTGGGCATTCTGAAAGAGACCAGAGACAGGTCAGGGAACATGGAGATGAGCGGCCAGATCCCGGCTGCCATCTGTTGTGTTGCTGAAGAAACTGCAGGGGTTGGGGCAGTGTTACAACTTCATAAGTTTATGAGAACATTAGAGTGAATTGACTTATTTCAGATTCATTTAATTAATTAATTATGTGTGCGGTGCCCACCGAGGCCGGAAGAGGCCAAACTGGAGTCACACACATTTGGGAATGACCATGTGGAGGCTGGAACTGAACTTGCGTCCCCTGCAAGACCAGCAAGTGCTCTTAACCGGTGAATCGTCTCTCCTAAGAGTGAGTCTTAAAAGATGAGTCTGGGCTGGGGATATGTTTCAATTGGCAGAGTGTTTGCCTAGCATACACAAAGCCCTGAGTTCGAGCCCTGGCACTGCAAGAACCAGGTGTCGTGGGACATGCCCGTCATCTCAGGACACACGCAGGAAGTTCAAGGACATCCTCAGCTCAGTCTGAGCTTGAGAGACGTGAGACTTTGTCAGGGGAAAAAAAGGCCAAGTGTCCTGTTGTCTGTCCTCAGCTGCAAATGTATGCTTTGGGGCTGCTAGTCACACTGTGTAGCTACAGATTAAATTTGCAAGTATAGAATCAGCAAAGATGAGGATCAACTACACAGGAATGAAAATCTCAAATAAAAGCAAACCAAGGAGCCAGGCATGGCGGCACATGCCTTTATTCCCAGCTCAGGGCCAGCCAGGTCAACACAGTGAGTTCCAGGCTATAGTAAGACCCTGGGAAAACAAACACAAGGGCCGGTGGATGAGGGGCTCAGAGGATGAAGGTGCCTGTTACAAGGCTGGGGCTCTCTGGGAGCCAGCATGGAAGGAGAGAGCCAACTCCTGGAAACTGTCCCCAGACCCATGCAAGGAACCCGGCCTGCAGTGACTCCGGGCTACCCACATCCACATCCCAGCCTCCTGCTTACTCCGGGTTTTCATCGGGAATCTACACACTACAGTGTGTGGTGAAAACAGGGCTTTGAAGTAGTGCAGGTGCCGGTCTCTAGGTGACAGAGCAGAACATGTTTACACAGCTGTCCTGCGTGTCCATCCGCATGTGAAGAGTCTAGTTTGCATTCTATCCCGCCCCCCCAACACACATTTCCATAGATCAACAAAGTGCGCGCACACACCCGCCCTCTGAAGATTGGCAGGGCACCGCGTGGAGCTAAGGAAGGGTCTCAGGGGCCTCTGGTCCCCAAGCCCACTGTCCTTTCTCACTCCATATCATACCATCTCACCTTCTAGTCTGACAGTCCCTCCCCCCCTCCTTCCCTCCCTCCCTCTCTCCCTCCCTCCCTCCCTCCCCCTTCTTCCTCTCTTTTTTGATAGCACAGAATGATCTTAAAGTCACTGCATAGCAAAGATGACCTTGAGCTTGTGGTCATCCTGCCTTCACCTCCCCAGTGCTGGGATTCCGGGTCTCTCCAGCACACCTGGCTCGTGTGTGCTAGGCAGGTACTCCACCAGCTGAGCCCCAGCCCCAGTGGCCCCCCATCTCTAGTCAGAATGCTGCAGCTAAGCTGGGTGCTGGTGGCCTTTAGTCCCAGCACTCGGGACGCAGAAGCAAGCGGATCTCTGTGAGTTCGAGACCAGTCTGGTCTACAAGAGCGAGTTCCAGGACAGCCTCCAAAACAATACAGAGAAACCCTGTCTCGCACCTCTGTCCCCCAAAGAAGAATGCTGCTGGGAACACACCGTCAGTCACCACTCGATGGAAAGATGTCCCTGCATTTACAGATACAGAGGCACTCAGAAACATTTGAGAACTATTGTAAAGCACACTGGCACCACCACATACGGGTCTGCGGAGCCCATGCTGGGCATCTTGCCCCTCCACAGCCACTCCTAAGGGCTAGCTGCCCCGCCCATTGTAAACGGGCAAGAGTTGAGAGCACTGACTCTGGAGCCTGAGGCCTGGATGTGATCCGCCCTGCAGGAATGTGCCTGCTGTCCCTGCCCGTGAAATGGCTCTAAAACCAGAATGTACCCATCTGAGGAGGTCATGAAGAGTAGGCGAGATGATGTCCAGAAGGCAGCATGGGAAAGCTCACTAAACGATGCTAATGTGATGAAGCTGCCTCCTGCTGCCCTCGGCAGGCCCTACTGAGCTGCTGCTGTCCTGAAGCCAAGCAGGGCATCGTCTGCCCTCCAGAAGTGCAGGGCCCCCACTCCACCGTCTCCACTGCATGAACCACACCTCTCGTTTGCTTTCTCCATAGCTGCTAGTTTTCTGTGCGTGGGCTGAGCGTGTATGTATGGTACTGTGTGTGCGGGAGCCCTTGGAGATCAGGAGGCCGGATCCCCTGGAACTGGAGTTTCAGTGGTGAGGAAAGGAGGCACCACATAGGAACCGGAACTGAATTCCTGTAAGAGGAGCAAGTGCTCTTGACTGCTGAGCATCTCTTCAGTTCCTCTAGGTGGTTCCTCTACATAGCCCTAGATGTCCTGGAACTCACTCTGAAACCCAGGCTGGCCTCCAACTCAGAGATCCGCCTGCCTTGGCCTCCTGAGTGCTGGGATTAAAGGCATGCACCAACAAACCTGGCTGTAGATGGTTCTTTTTTTTCCCTCTTTTTAAAATAATCTTATTTTACATACAAATCCCAGTTCCCTCTTCCTCCTGTCCTCCCATGCCCCCCACCATCTCCCCATCCCACCCCTCATCTATTCCCCAGGGAGAGTGAGGCCTCCCATGGGGGATCATCAAAGTCTGTCATGTCATTTGGAGCAGGACCTAGGCCCTCCCACATGTATCTATGTTGAGAGAGCATCCCTCCATAGGGAATGGGCTCCCAAAGTCCATGCACTAGGGATAAATACTGGTTCCACTGCTAGAGGTCTCTGACTCTGCACAGGGCAAGGACAGGGTCCCTGTCCATCAGACCCTCTGAGATGCACCACACAAATGGGAATCGTAACCATCTTCACTGAAGACTCTCTTTGATGTGATGGGAACCAGGGTGAAGAGCAGTGATGACTTTGAAACATAACTGGACTTTGACACTTGACATCAAAGGTCTCAGGTTCTGTTTGTGCTCAGTTTTGCAAGCAGTGTGACCCTGGATGAGCAATGAGAAGCTGGGACGGAGACGGTGCTGCTGGGTCACTCCCGATGACCATGGCGCTGAAAGCTTGCCCTACACTCTCTCAAATCCCTGACAGAGCCACAGAGCTACTTCTTTTGAAAACAAGGTCTTGCTATGCAGTCTCACACTGTCTCACCATTCCGAGTGCTAGAATTACAGTGCACTGCTACACAGAGGTCTTTTTTTTTTTTTTTTTTTAAGTACTGAGTTGTGGTGCCAGAGGCCTTTAATCGCAGCACTTGGGAGATAGAGGCAGGCAGATCTCTGTGAGTTTGAAGCCAGCCTGGTCTACAGTGAGTTCCAGGACAGCCAGGGCTGTTACACAGAGAAACCCTGCCTTGAAAAACAAAATGTATTAGGTTTATCTATGTGTATAAGTCTTCTGTCTTTACGTATGTCTGCACACCGTTGCACCCCTGGTGGCTGCAAAGCGCAGAAGAGGGCACTGGGTCCCCTGGAAGAGCGGTCACAGGTGGTTGTGAGCAGCCTGTGGGTGCTGGGAACTGAACCCAGGTCCTCTGCAGGAACAAGTGCTCTTAGCTGGTGAACATCCCTCCAGTCCCCAGCTCTTCCTTTTCCACATATCCGCGAGACCCACGGTCTTCACAGAAAACACGGACACTAGGAAGCACATATAAATGAAAGCAAAGCACTCATTACACATAAAATAACCCTGAAAAATGCTGCTACCCGAGGACATGGTCCCCTAATGCTTTCCCCAACAAACGAAAAACTCTGCAACCATGAAAGCAAGCTGCCTGGGATCCCGGGAGCACCTCCAGGAGCACTCCCTCCCTCTGCCTTTCCATCCTTTCTCCTTTCGTTCATTTTTTTGAGACAGGGTTTCTCTATGTAGCCCCAGATGTCTTGGACTCTCTGTGTAGAGCAGGCTGGCCTCAGACTCCCAAAGATCTACTTGTTTCTGTCTCCTGAGCGCTCACATTAAAGCTGTGTGCTACCACAGCCAGCCTGCTTGCTTGGTTTGAGGTGCTGGGTACGAACTCTAGATTTTCATGTGCTAAGGAAGAAACTTTGGTCTAACTGTGTATAGTCCAGGTGGCTTCAAACTCCTGCCCAAGTCTCCAGGATTATAGGTACACAGCTATTTTCATCCTAAAATACCACCACCCTCTGCCTCCTGAGTGCTGGGGCTAAAGGTGTGTACCACCACCAACACAGCCTGGCTAAAAAGCAGTTTTAAAAAAAATTTAAAATAAGTTGGGTGGTGGAGGCACAGCCTTTAATCCTAGTGCTTGGAAGGCAGGCACAGGCAGATCTCTGTGAGTTTGAAGCCAGCCTGGTCTACAGTGAGTTCCAGGACAGCCGGGGCTGTTACACAGAGAAACCCTGTCTCCAGAAACCTCCCCCCTAAAATAAAATAAAACATCTAAATGAAAAGCAAATGTAGCCAATCTCCAGAAAATTCTATGGAATTCTTTGTACCCTATATTAGGATTAGTTAGAAAAGATTATGCAATCAAGGGGACTAAATAGAACACTGTAACATGGCTAAAATTGTAATGATTTAAACAAAACCAAAACCAAAGCTAGGGCCAGGAGACGCTGCTGCGAAGCACCTGTCTCCTGAGCGTTCGGGACCTGAGATCAGATCACCAAAACCCACAGGAAAACTGAGCCGGGCGGTGGTGGCCACGCCTTCCGTTCCAGCACTCAGAGGCAGAGGCAGGCAGATCTCTGAGCTAAATGCCAGCTTTAACTGCTACACACAGAAACCCTGTCTCCAAAAAACAAGCAGCTTAGCCAGACATCGTGGTGCACACCTGTGGTTCTAGCACTTGGGAAGTAGAGGGAGGAGGATTATGGTTAACAGTAACCTGGGCTATGAGACCCTGTCTCAGGAAAATAAAAGCAAAG